GCTGGTAAAACTGACCCGCATAGACCAGGCCTAAGAGGGACACAAGTAAGGTTCGCAAACTTGATGGCGTCCCAGAAATGCTGCTGTGAGTTACTAAAATTTGATTATGTCCCTCCCTGCTAGGAGGAGTCTCCAGAGTGCCTGCTTCACCAATACAAGCGAGACACGGTTAATCGTCATGCCAATTCCCTTAACTGTAGAAACACAGGCGTGCCCGGGATTTCAGGTCAGCTAGTCCAGCCCCCTGTGCTGAGGCAGTGCCAAGAACACCTCGACCTTCCCTGACAGGTGTTTGTCCAACCTGTTCTCACAAGCCTCCCAGGACAGGGATTCCACAACTTCCCTTGGAAGCCTCTTCTAGTATTTAAGCAGTTAGAAAGTTTTTCCTAATGTCTAACTTAAATCTCCCTTGCTGCAGACAAAAGCCATTGCTACTTTTCCTACCTTCAGCGGCCACGGAGAACAACTGATCACCATCCTCTTTACCACAGCCCTTAACATAACTGAAGACTGATCAGGTCTCCCTGCAGCCTGTTTTTCTCAAGGCTAGACATGCCCAGGGCTTTTTAACCTCTCCTCACAGGTCAGGTTTTCTAAACCTTTTATTATTTTTGTTGCTCTCCTCTGGACTCGCTCCAATTTTTCCACATCTTTCCTCAAGTGTAGTGCCCAGAGCTGGACACAGTACTCCAGGCCGAGGCCTCACCAGCACCAAGTAGAATGGGACAGTTATCTCCAGCATTTTACATACGAAGGCCCTGTTAATTCTCCCCAGAATGATATTATCCTTTTACACAACTGCTTCACGATATTGACTCATATTCAAGTTAAAACCCACTATAACCCTCAAATCCTTTTCAGCAGTACTACTGCCTAGCCAGTTATTCCTCATTTTGTAGTTATGCATTTGATTTTTCCTTCCTAGGTATAGTACTTATTGAATTTCATCTTGCTGATTTCAGACCAATTCTCCAATGTGTCAAGGTCATTTTGAATGCTAATCCTGCTCTCCAAAGTGTTTGCAACCTCTCCTAAGCACACCCAGGGCTGACCTCTGCAGGACCCCACTAGATACATTCCCCCAGTTTGACAGTAAACCATTGATAATTACGCTTTGAGCATGATCTTTCAACCATTTGTGCACCCACCATACAGTAATTTAATGAAGACTACATTTCCCTAAAAAGCAACAGAGGGTCCTGTGGCACCTTTGAGACTAACAGAAGTACTGGGAGCATAAGCTTTCGTGGGTAAGAACCTCACTTCTTCAGATGCAAGTAATGGAAATCTCCAGAGGCAGGTATATATCAGTGTGGAGATAACGAGGTTAGTTCAATCAGGGAGGGTGAGGTGCTCTGCTAGCAGTTGAGGTGTGAACACCAAGGGAGGAGAAGTCCTTGCCCACAGACAACCTGCCAACCTC